TACACCCCAAGGCAGGCCTGCGCCCCAGCCTCCCTCTCCGTCAGGCCCTCCCCGACCGGGCTCACCTGGCCCTCGTGGAGCTGCCGGACCGGGCTGGTCTCCTCGGGGTGGTAGAACCACTTGACGCGGACCACCATGTTGCTGCCCCACGACTCCCACATGCTCTGGATGCGGCCGATGTAGGGCAGGTTGGGCCGCCCCGCCGACAGGAACACAGCGCAGTCCCCAATACGGATCATCTCCTTACCACGCACGATGGCCTTGTAGAAGAGCTTGCGGGCCTTGCCCTTCATGCCACGCCGCTGAGGGCCAGATGACAGTCAGGGGCCACACAGTGCACCGAGACCTTTGTGCCCCTGAGCCCCGGCCCTGCCCCTCTGGGTCACCAGCTGCCAACTGGGGCGCTGCCTCGATGGGCTGGTGCAGGGGAGACTTGACTTAAGCGGGGCTCCGGAGGCTGAAAGTGCCTATGACTCCCACCCTGAGACCCGATCCTGAGCCCCGTGGAGTGTGTAGGGATCCCACTGCCCTCCACCCGTAACATGGCTCCTCCCAGGCCACCCCAGATCCGGCCACCACCCCTGAGCTCAGGTTAGCTCCCTGCAATCCCCACTTTCTAGGCAGGGCCCATGGGGTCCAGACAGAGGGGCCCTAAACCCACCCTGCTGCCCAGTCTCAATCTAGCCAACCTACGACCTCTGGCACAGCGTAGCCCTGGGGGTGGGGGTGCCACTTGCTCATGGCTCAGAAAAGGACCTCGTTCCAGGAACAGAGTCCAGGATGAGCAGATGCCACACGCCGCCCTTCTGGGGATCAGCATGCCAGGAGCAGGGGACTGGGGACCCCACGTACTTGATGGGAACCACTCAGATTCCCCTCAGCTCAGGCACAGGGGACCGCTGAGCTAGGCGGCAGTTGTGATTTTTGGCGCTCTGCATCTGCTCCCCTTGGCAGACACCCCCAGCGGGCAGCTGGAACACCCCATCTTCTCACTGGCCACTGTGACTGGCTCAAGAGGGGCCAGGGCCCAGGCCAGACACTCAGCCAGCTTTACAGCCCTGGGAGGAACCTGCTTCCTACTGATACTCCTGAGCTAGAAAACATGACTGCACCTTTCTGCTGACTGGGAAGTGGCGCTGCCGAATGAGACCGGCAGAGGGAGGACAGAGCGCTGAGGCCTTGGGCATGCACACAGGAGAGTCTACAAATCACCTACGAGCCCCTGGATTTACCTGTGCCTGAAGCTGCAAACCCCAAGCCTTTCTGGTAAGGAGCCCAGTAAGTTTGACCTTATGAGTTTAAGCCAATCTTGTGTCTCTTTCCTTTGCCAACAGTAAGGCCACTCTACGAGGGGGCACGTGATCCAGGACACAGCCACACACCCCTGCCCTCTGGCCCATGATGCTCAGCTGCTTACCTGGGTGGGCTTGCCAAACCACTTCCAGAGCTGCCGGGCAGGCAGGAAGGCTGCGATCTTCGGGCGGTTCTCAACAGAAGGCAGGCGCTGCCGCTTGGCCAGCTCCTTGGTGGTGGGCAAGTGCACACCCTCACGCTTCTTGGGGCGGCTCTTGGCCCCAGCCTGCGCCTTGGGCTGCAGGGGCTGTGCAGGCTGGGGCGGGGGTGCTGTTGGCTGGGCAGCAGGTGCCTTCTTGCTCGAGGAGCGGGCCTTGCTGGCCGGCTTGGGGGCCTTGGCAGGCAGGGCCGGCTGGCTGGAGGGCCCAGGCACAGGTGTGGGGGTCACCTCGTCATCCGAACTGCAGGAGGAGTCCTCATCCGTGGTGGAGGAGGAAGAGGAAGAGGAGGAAGAGGAGGATGAGGAAGAGGAGGAAGAGGAAGAGGAGGAGGAAGAGGAGGACGAGGAAGAGGAGGAAGAGGAAGAGGATGAAGAGGAGGAGGAGGAGGAGGAGGAGGAGGATGACGAGGAGGAGGAGGATGACGAGGCTGGGGAGGATGCCCTGGAGCTGGTGGCACTGCAGGTGTGTCCCCCTGCACCCCGGTCATCTCCTCTGGTCTTGTCAGCGTCCTCCTCGCCTTCTGTCTCTGAGCTGCTGCTGCTACTGCTACTGCTGCTGCTGCTGCTGCTACTGCTGCTCTCTGACTCCTCCACCCCGTCCTGTTCAGCCTGGGCCTTGTCTGGGCTCTTGGGGTCCCCAGGGTCCTCCATTGGGAGCCCCACCCCAGGCTCCTGGGCAAGGTCCCCATCCAGGGCCTTGGGCCAGGCCGTCTTGGGCTCGCCACTGCCTGCTGCTGAGGGGTGGCCGCCCAGGCCCTTGGGCTCCTGCCAGCCCCCTGCCCCCGTGTCTTCCCGGAGGAGCAGGGCCTCTTTGGCCTTCTTGCTTTTGGGGGACATGACGCCCTCATGGTCCAGCTTGACGAGCAGCTCAGCTTCTTCCCCTGGCCTCCGGGGGCCCTTGGGCCCCGACTCCTCGGTGGTCCGCGCCTTCTTGGGCTTGGGCCGGGTGGCAGGCATGGTGATGGGCATGGTGATGAGGGGCGCCGGGGGCAGGGCTGCAGCAGGGGCCGGCAGCTCCCCAAAGGGCTCAGGAGCCGGGCAGCTGGCAAAAGCAGATGGCACAGGGCCAGGTGACGGGGAAGCCAGGTGGGCCTTGGGGGCTTTGGCCCGCTTGTCCACAGGTTCTGGGGGGTTCTTCTTGGAACTTGGGGCACCGACTGGCTCCAGGGCCAAGGAGGTAATGGGGACCTCATCAGTGGAGGCCACCTCCTCTGAGACAGCAGCTCTGTCTAGAAAACAGAGGACAACAAATGAAATGGAGGTTGTGCTGGGGCTGCAGCCCAGGTCCCGAGCGAGAGCAGTGGCCTAGGGTACTGCATGTGGCTGGCATGCAGCCCAAGAGCCTCTGAGTTTGCGACTGAGCTCAAGCCTAGCTCTGCTTGTGATGACCTCTTTCCTCCCTCGGCCTAGGCTGAGTCTGCA